GATTGTTTCTTCGATTGTGACTGCTTCTTCGAGGTTTGTGATGGTTGAGATTTCCACTGTGAAGATTGAGGTGCTTGGTCAGCATACTCATGATATGAAGGGTCCATATAAACATCATACCCATCCAGTTTTCTCCCTTTCTTCTTCGCTCCTTCTTTGGTTTTTATTTTCTCAGGTGGTGGCAACATCGAACCTGTTATGGGGTAAGCAAGTTCACAAACCCTACTTTTTAATGCTCTTTTACCAATAACATCTAGTGATCTAAACCTTCTCCATAATTCTTCTATTGCACTACTCATATCAACTCTGATCTATCTTCTAAATATATCTGTAACTCAACTTCCATACTTAGTTTCCTCCAATGAACTTGAACACTGCCTATTGGTATTGGTATACCACCAATAACGTATCTCCCTGACTCACAAGCACAAGGTAACCCATAATTTGTTCTATTAGTACAATCGTATTTTCGCCTTTTAGTTCCAACATAATCAACCCTCAATAACTCTTCAGCAATGCGTCTCAAAGCAACTCTAGATACAAAACCATGCAGATTACCATAAAACAGAGTTATGTGTGTTTGTTTAACTTCATAAAAACTTTTTTGAAAAGAAGCTCGAATGTTGCCTATTTGTAACTTCAGATTGTTATTCATAGATTCCCAATATTTGACCATGTCACCAATACTATTTTCCAACATCTTCTTTAACTTTCAATGTGCAGACTCACCCCTAAAAATATAACATAGTAAAAATATTTAAAAATATTGTAAAAATTAATGCATAATAAAAATACTATAGAAAATGACATGCCGATTAGTTGTGGTGCTACCCAAAGGAAGTAGTTGATTAATCCATGCTCCAACAAACTATGCCTATGTGGAGTCAACCAAGTATCTTTCACATAATCAATAAATTCACTACAATCACAACATGCATGTTTAAGTTGGTGCAACTGTTGACTATACTCAACCTCGTTACTAGCCCATACAAGTTCCATCCATAATGTGTCTATCGTATCTTGCATGTCTTTCACCACATATTGCTTGCATCTTGCACCGACATTTTGGTTAATGTAAAATCAATATAGTAAATTAATTATCGTAGGAAACACAACTTCAACTGCTTTCATCAAAGCAAGATCTCTATCCGTCAAAATCACTTGTGGACACAAATCTTTCTTCACAAACATTTGCTTCAGCTTATCCAAGACCCAACAAAAACTATATGTCTGCTTATACTTCATATAAGCAAATGCAACAGCAAATGTCAACTCGGTTGATGTCATGCTAACAATTTCGAACAGAGGTTGTCTATATTGATTTGTCTTATAAGTGTTGTTCATAACTAAATATTCAGCAACTTAACCGAATCTGGATGCGCCCAAAAAATATCTCTCACAACTTCTGAGTCATATCTTTGTCTACTCCAATAAACATAGCATGCATCCTCTATAAGTTTAAGCAAATATTGTATCTCACGTCTTGGACCTCTTATCTCTTTTTCTGTCACACTCTTATGCTTATATATTTGCGTCATCCGAGTGACATTCTCAGGATCTCATTCTTGCAAGAAAAGTAATATGTGTCTAGGTGGAACACTTCTCTTTGTCAAATCAGTAACATGCTGCTTATCATTTGTGGTCAACCTAGCAACAAATGCATGACCTTCTAATCTATCAGGTAATCCATGATTATGAACTCCGTGTTTTACATCAACCTTTCATCCAGACCCATCTTTTTTCGGAGTCAACCTGATTTTGAATGGACATCCACATCTCTTAGTCGCACTTTGAGTTTTACTTCTATCCTTGTATTTTTCCCCTTTATCGCAACCAAATATTATTTTGTTACTTCTTCCTTTCTTGTCTGTTCGGTGTCTGAACGCTTGATGATGACAGTTACTTTATTTCTGATTCCAACCTCTTTAATCGATCTTATAACCTCTTCTTCTGTATCGAATCTTTGAGCAATTGAGAATACATCAGTGTTTTCTACAAAGTTCTCATTTTCTCGACAAATTTGAAGCGGAATATCCATACCTGGAAAAAATTAGGGTTAAATAAGTTTTTGATCCCTCTAAATATTTTAAATTTCGTTTTTAGTCCCTCTAAAATTTTCCTTCAAAGAATGGTCCTCCTAAAAAATTAAATTTTAATTTTTGGTCCCTCTTGCAATTTAGCGACGGTTTTTACAACTTAGCGACCGTTTTAGGGACGATTTTTATTTAGCAACGAAATTAGAGACCATTTTAGCTACGATTTTGTCAGGAGGGACCAAAAGTTAAAATTTAATTTTTTTAGGAGGACCATTCTTTGAAGAAAAAATTTTGAGGGACTAAAAACGAAATTTAAAATATTTAGAGATACCAAAAACTTATTTAATCCAAAAATTTATTAAAAAGCACACCGAAAGACTTTGAACAAGTGTTCCGGTTCAAGTTTTAAGACAAATCGAAACATTGCATATATGTGTTCCGATTAACAAAATACATAATCGAAAGATATTTCAGAAGTGTTTCTGTGTACATAAAATTTTCATCCTAAACTGAAACACTCTATACAACTCTACTGGAACATTATTTTTTTAACCCATACCATTTTAATCAATTGTTCTGGTTTGTAAAATTGCATAGCCAAAGATTTTTTTGAAGTGTGCCGAAACACATACGTAAGGATGCAATGCTAAGATTTTTTTGTGCAAAATAAAAAGTGAAATGATAAATTGGTTTAAAATATTAAAGAATAAAATTGGCATTTTTAAAAAATTATAAAAATACAAATTTAATTATAGAGGAACGAAGTAAAATTTTCTATCTTTATTGATAGAAGTAGCCGTTGAATCATCTGAAACATATTACGGTAATCAATTGTTAAACTCTGTTTATTTTTACAAAAAATATGTGCATATGGAGACAAAGAAAGAGAAAAATGAAGGTTATACCTGAAAGACTATGCTTGCAAAATTAATGTTACTATTAAACAATTTTATTTTCATTTAATATTTATTAATTTAAAATTGAAAGATAAACTAGAATGAATTAATTAATTCAAGTTACTAGTAAGATAATTTAAAGTAGAATTAATTTGAAAATAGAGCAGATAAATGATAGAGAAAGAAATTTAATTACTCAATTGTTAAACCGTATTTTTTTATGGGTACTAATTTATCATTTTGATGATAAATGGACTACCATATTTTATATTTGAATTAAATATGTTTTTGATCCTTATAAATATCTCAAATTTCATTTTTAATCTCTATTAAAAAAATAATAAATTTTGATTCTAAAAAATTTTTGCTCATCAAGATTTAGTCTCTACTATTTTTTAAAATTTTAAAAATTGATTAATTACTCTTAAATTTTTTAATTTTTTAATAATTTTTTTCATATGTGTTTAGAATATTATTAAATATTTCTTTATCAAATTTTAAAATTTTTTAAAATGAGAAGAATTAAATATTATTTTTTTAAATTTCAAAAGATATTGATAAAAATAATGAAAATCTCGACTGAGAAATCAAATTTTGAATTTCTTTTTTTTCAAGGAACTTCTTATAACGTTCTAAACATATCTACAAAATAATCATTCAAAAATACACATTGGTTTGATAACAGAGACTAAAACTATGTGTATAATAATTTTTTAGAAACTAAAACATGTCATTATTTTAATGAAGATTAAAAATGAAATATTTTTTAGAGACTAAAATATATCATTATTTTAATAAAGATTAAAAATGAAATTTGAGATATTTATATAGACCAAAAACATATCTAACCATTTATATTTTAGCATTTGAATTGAATTTTAAAGAGTGGAACAGTTTAGATACCAATCAATGTAACCGGTTTTTTTACCATCTCATTCACCTCATCATCGGAGGGTTCTCAAACTTTTTGTTGGCATAATGTCACCCCCTTAGAGCATCAACATCTATTGGGTTCTTTAAGTAGACTCAATATAATTTTTTATATTATTATAAATTTTTCAATTAAAGAATAAAGACACTGAATTGAGAGTGAGTTTCACACGGTCATCTAATAAAAATATATCATTATGTCATGTCATTTAAGTAATTTAAAATATTTAGTATGACTTAATAAGATGCATAGTTGTCATTGGTTAAGAGTGTAAAATTATTTTATATTTTTCTCTGAATTATTTTATATTTTTCTCTTTGAATTATTTAAAGAACCCATCCATCCTGCTTAAATATCCATACAACTCTTTAAATAGTTCAAAATGAGTCTTACTAGACACTTCATTATACTATACATTTAATTATTTGTTATTTTTTAATTCAACTTATAGTTAAAAGAACATTTTTTACTGCAGAGTCTTGAACTAAAGAAATAGTGTATGCATAAATATCTCAGGAACCTTGACATGGTTACTTTGATAATAGTGTAGAAACGGTGAAATAGAACCATAATGGAGCTCTCTGGTTAGGGAAAGTAGGAAGAGATAGTTGTGCCAACTGTTGGACAGGGATTTGAGCTTGGGAGGAAGAAGAGATCAATTTTATCCTTCTACAACAGAGTTAGTCAATGGAATACAAAACCACCATGTCTTGTTATTGGCGAGGATTTAAATTTCGCTGTTTTTCAAGTACTAGCAGTTGAGGAGGGAGTTCATAAGATATCAAGTACGCCAAGATATTCCACACTATGCAAATTTCTTAACATCTACAACCCTACCATGAAAATGACCTCGTGTGGTTCAATGACTCTACTACTGAGCCTTGAGTTATGAGAAACTATTGGTCACTTTCGGAAAACGTACGTTTTTGTTGTACCAAAAGAAAAAGCTATAAAAGTTTAACATGAAAATGTACAATGATCATATTCACACTCTTAAACGGCCAAAAACAAGGAGTGGACATAACTTTTATTGTCTTTGAGAAAGTTAAGTTCCAGAAACACAATTGCATCTAGTCTAACTAAATCCCTCCCAGCAAAGCATCACTACACACACACAAAAAAAATCAAAAAGAAAAACTAGCGTTCTATCTGGATAGTTACATGACTGATGTTATGCACCCTCTTGATGTAGTCTATAACTTTGTCCAACATCTCATCGGCATCTGCTTCAGGACTGATTTTAACATGACAAGCTAGCAATACCTTCCCAACTGTAATGGCCCATATGTGCAGCTCATGAATAGCCACTACTTCTTCCATCTCCAATAGGCCCTTTTGAAGTTGAGTAGCATCTATCTCACGCGGAGTGCTCTCCATCAGGACTTCCAAAATGTTTCGCAGCATGTTGATAGTTGTGGCCAAAACAATTACAGAAAAGATTAGAGTGCAAATTAAATCAACTATTTTCCATTCAGGTTTATACCATATGATTGCTCCGCCAATCATTACTCCAACACTCTGGATAGAATCCCCAAGTACATGGAGATAAGCCCCGTGTACGTTTATGTTGCGTTTCTTCTTCTCAGGTATGGCTTTTGATTCACCAAGAAGTGGGACAGCACCCTCTTTGGGATCTTGCGCGTGATCTTCATGAGTATGGTGGGGTGCATCATTCGAATGCTTTTCAACATCATGAGGGTGAGTGTGATCACTGTGTGTGTGATGATGCTCATCTTGTGTTTGCTTTATATCATGATTGGTAGAAACTGAAATGCCATGGATGTGGCCATGATGATCATGTCCGTGTCCGTGATCATGCCCGTGTCCGTGATCATGTCCATGTCCGTGGCCGTGTCCGTGATCATGACCCAATACCAAAGCCATAATGATGTTAACCACAAGACCAAATGCAGCAACTACAAACATTAAAAACCCATCCACATTTTGAGGACCTGCAATGAGTCTAGCAATGGCTTCATATACAAGAATCCCAGCAAGCAGCCATATTAATTGCATAGAAACCAAAGCGCCAAGAATCTCTATTCTAAAAAATCCAAACGACTGACGAGGATTTGGTTCCCATCCCCCAGCCCATATAGAAAATAAGGAGATGGCAAATGCTGCAACATCTGAAAGCAAATGTGCTGCATCAGTCAATATTGCAAGACTATTAGCCTTAATACCACCAACTACCTCAACAGCCATGAAAATTACGCAAAGGACCACTGCTATCAGAAGCTTCCGCATCGAAGTTGATCGTTCTTCAGAATCCTTTGAGATGGATCCAGCATCTGAGAACTCACATGTTGCTTCCCCACAAATTTTCCTTGCTACATCAGGAAGATCTCTACTGACTTCAATAATTTGTGTATGCTGAGTGCTTGGTGCTTCCATCTGCAATATATTAATGAAAATGTAATATTTATTGAGTTGGTGATAAACCAGATAAAAAAAAAAAATACACTTCCAAGCACTAAATGGAAATAATAAAAATATTAAATCAGCCATCAATAACTTTGTACAGTATATCTTCAACGAATTCATCTCAGGTTACACTGTTCCAGAAGTTGATTACGAAATCAAAAGAAAAATGGAAAAAAAAAATATTTTTGAAGTTCTGAATAACACACTAGGATGAGCTGCATCAACCATTATCCAATCAAACATCTAAGACCATCATTAGATTTTATAGAACATTTAGAACTCTTAAATGGATGGATGTGTAACAAATTTTCAATTTGTTATTTATAGTTTGCCAAATTCAACAAATGGCTTACCATTTCACTGTTTGATAGACATGACAAATCAATAGTAACATTCCAAAAATGTCTGACCATATGCAATAATTTGAGAAATCTTACAACAAAATCAGAGCCAAATAAAACATTTCATATGAATGAATAAAATGATCTTTTTTCTGATTAAAAGTGTCAGACATACTCGTGTGAAGAGCCAATCAAGTAAAACCTTATAACTATATAAAATTGATGAATAACCTCAAGGACTGGCATTTAAACAATATCTTCCCAACAACTACCTACAAGGAGGAAAAATATTGACAAGACAGCAAAAAGAAACATGAGAAAACCTGGAACGATATCATCACTCTACAGATATGAAGATTTCATTGGATTTTGGAAAGGAAAGCCAATGATAAAATCTGTTGCATTAATTAGAAACTGTGGTCTCTATGCTCAACTACTAAAGTGATTATGAAAAATATACGTTAAGAATTGCTCATTCTGACTAACAATCAGTCAAATCAGAGAGCACCGGGAAAGTATCTAGTTGCAATTTCAGTCCCAGTTCAACTACTTAAAAAAGTAATAGCTTTATAAGAGAGAAGATATAGTATGAGCAAATGAAATTGTTGACCCAATATCTAATCAATCTGATACAAACTTCAATTTTATTTCAAATGATTAGAAATAATCATCTTGAAGGTCATAGGTATACTCTGTTACAGTTAAGAGATTTAGTTAGTTAACGGATTTGTTAGTTTGTGTGTGTTAGGGGACAGTTGGGCAAACCCTCAAAGCTATGTCATTTTCTGTAATCAAAGCAGAGAGCTGGGCAGACCCTCGAAGCCATGCCATTTTCTGTAATCAAAGCAGACAGCTGGGCGGACCCTCGAAGCTATGCCATATTCTGTAATCAAAGCAGACAGCTGGGCGGACCCTCGAAGCTATGCTATTTTCTGTAATCAAAGCAAACACTTTGCTTATCCGAACCTCAGCGACCTCCCAATGTCAAAAGGACTAAAATTCTCTTAAATCCCAACTCCCAAAGACTCACTTCCTCTCCACTCTTCAATTATTTATATACATTGTGATACCCTATCCTCTCTAACAAGTTTCCGACTAATTAACAAACTGGATAACCAACTAGCTCAAATTTCCCCCAACTGACATTTATGTATCACAAACATAAATTGTTTAAACTCGTCATTTGGTTGCTGTAATATAATGATTACTCTGATGGCTAACTAGTTAATGCAAGGTAATGCATATATTAGTTAAGAGTACCTACATATTTCATTATTGAAGCATGATACTCTCACTATGAATGACTAACTTACAAGAACTAACACGACAAAGAGATTTAAAACCCAGCTATAAAGATAATACGACAAAAAAAACTAACACGACAAATAACTAATAGCTAGCAACCAAAGTGAAAATTTACATTATTGCTTTCAAAATCAAAGGAAGAAAGACATTAACCAAGATGATATATGGTTCAGACAAACATTTAGTGATATTTCAATAGTTAACAAGTTCCAACAAGACTCATATTTGTACTGCAAATAGGAACTAACAGAAAATTTTCACAGATGCAAGAACAAGCATATGAACAAATGGTTATTCCAACAAATACTCATACGGACTAAGATGAATTTTCCACAAGTGCAAGGAAGAGCATATGAGAAAGTTATAAAGACATGTTTCTTTTTCAATGCATTATTCCCAAAAGCATAAAACCAAGTACAATAGCAACAAAGTCACTCCATCTAGAATACACTCCAAACCTCAAAATAACACATATACTCTCAAACTAAATAAAACACAACAGAACAAATAGAGAATCAAAACTCAATAACACACGGATGAAGAAAATTCAGCACCCTTGTACAAGATAAAGAATATCAATCTTTGAAGCCCAGACACAGAAAACACAACAGTGACAGTGACACCAACACTGACACGCCGACACCAGTAATAATTTGAAAAAATGAACATATTAAACGTAATCACTAGTATTGGCGACTCTGACATAGACATACATTTTTTCGGAGGAGTCGGATGCTACAGAGATATCAATACAAAGGGATGGAAAAAGTAACTAAACATTTGATTTGTTAAGATTCTTTAAATACAAAAGAAAATTTCATAATCAAAATTAGTCACTAATCAAACAACCACAATGAACCTACCTTCACAACTAAATGCCCTAACATCACAGGGAACCAAAACCCCTAAATTTATCATATAAATATAGAAATTTGATGCAAATATCCTAATTATTCAATTCAACTTAAATCTCAAACAAAATTATTAACACCAAATAAAAAATAAAAAATAGAAGCTTCTAGAATTATAGGGTGTTGACAAAGAATAGCCCAAAAAAATGCAACAGAAGAAGAACAAAACTACACCTAAGAGACAAACAGAAAAGCACAAAAAGAATTGAATGGAAAAAAAACAAAGGATAATGCGAAGGGTGAGAGTGGAGAGAGATAGGATAAGGTTTAGGAAACGCACTTTTGCAGAAACGTGATTCTCGTTCTTCGTTGGTTGGGTGGGTGATTCTGAATCCTTGTGGTTCTAACTAGTAAATATGTATATATTTAGTATTTATTCGCGGTGTGTGGGTATAAAAGAGAATATGTTTGTGTGGACATGTGGATAAACATGGCATGCTTAATTAAGGCTACATTATAATAGCCATGTGATTGAGTAAGAAAATAAAATAAAATAAAAATGGTATGTCATTATTCACATTTATTTTAACTTTCAATGTTTTTTTATTACTTGTTTTCAATTTTGATTTATTATAATTTGTTGGTCAAAATTTAAGAAAGTTAGGAAAAGTTCTTCATTGAAATTTTGGTATTCATATCACATATGTTTCAAGAAATATCGAGACATTGTTATTTGACTTCAACACAATAAACACAAATAACAATGCAGTAAGTAAACAACATGCAGAATTGTTAACTCAGTTTGGTGTACAACAACATCTACTTTGAGTAAATCAGAAAAAAGATTTATTAAAGAGTATTAATTCAAAGCCTAAACAATCTCAGTTTATAACTTCTCACTTAATCACTATCTGTGTTATACTTCTACCTAAGACTCACCTAGGTATGAGACACATTTCACTTTCCTGACCGTCACTAACAGTGACAAAACCACAACTCAAACGAATTAGAAAACAAACTTCACAATCACTTTATACTTAGAAGTTTAAGAGTGATTGACAAACAAGAAGTAGACACACTTCAAAAACCAGAATTCACTCTTGCTTAAAAGCTTATGAGTGATTCACAATTACAACTCAACTAACAATCCAACTCAAATAACAAACAATACATGAGTGGCTCACAATCAATACAGTCCGACTTTATCATAGAGTGGATCACAAAGAACAGACGAAGCCCTAATAATTGACACTTTTATAACTCTGGCTCATACTTGCTTTAGGTTAATAATCTTATATTTATAACCTTTCTCTGGACTGGATTTGGGCTTCAAAAACTCAACAAATCAGTTGCTAAAATTCTGTAGAATCTTATGCATAAAAACAGGTCTTCAATTATAACTTTCCTAAAATGTCTCCATAATTAGAAAGTAAGTACTCTTCTTGAATTCAACTTGAATCTTCCAGACCTTAAATCAATCCCACATAGAATAGCATAATATTCCCATAATATTCTGCATCTGTTAAAATTTAAGTCAGCCCAACTGTCCAACTCAACACAGTCACGATATCGAGTGACTCTACATAGGACATCTTATCCGACATGGTGTTTCAGTTGATGAAATATCTCAACTCAATATGTTTCTTCTCAGTAGATTAGAACTTCCTTTTTAACATGTTACTGCCATATTTATTTTACTAATAGGAAATAAATGGTTGTGTGTGTGTGCAATGTTGAGACACACTAAAGTACACTTTATTACTCACTTATAAAATTTCACCTCAATCTCATACTTAGTTGAACATTAGAGTGCTAGTTTTTTTGCATGTATCATCTCTAGTCACCGGTGAACTCTCACCATGGCGCTTGAAGCATTCCACCATGGTCTTCTTCATCGTATCAATCATCGTTTATTTCAGCTTGAGACAATAACGCGGTCTGTAGGAATAGTCTTTTGATTCTCCTAAGTATTTTCAATATTGCAATTGTAACTATCTTCAAGTGTATCTTTGATTGATGGTTTAAGGTTGATTCATGGCCAAAATGTCGCTATTGACCATCTCCGATCATCATTCCTGATCCTCCAAGAAAATGATGGACCAATTCTTTCTCTATTCGGTGAAAATTCTCATCTACAACATGGTCCATAAGCTTCAACTGAAGGTGAGAAAAACACAAGACATGAGGGTTGAATTATGTTGACTTTTTCTCATTTTCTCTTATAAAATCTCTTATCAGATTTTGATCTCAAGGACATAATCTGAGTTAAAGTATGATGGTGATATCAGTGGATAAAGTTGATCATAAATAAATAAGAGATCAAGATAACACATAAGCAATTTATCCTAGTTCCTCCTACAAGTCAAGAGTAGTCCAGTCCCCTTGCACTTCCAATATATTTTCACTATAACCAAATATGATTAAAGGTTTCTCAAGCACACAAGCAATATACTTTCAATGCTCAAACACACAAGTAAGGGACTTCAATGCCCAAGCACACATACAAGAGACTTCAACGCTCAAGCACACAAGCAAGAGACTTCTAAATGCTCAAGCACACAAGCAATATACTTCTAAATGTTCAAGCATACAAGCAAGAGACTTTCAAATGCTCAAACACACAGGCAAGAGACTTCAATGCTCAATCACACAAGCAAGAGACTTCTTATAATCTATCTAGCAGATAAATGATAGTGATAGAATTATAATTACACTTAATATACAATCAGAGGTGTAAACAGAATACAACATAGAAAACCTGAAGGCTTAAGAAATTCTAAGAATGTACAATTGATAAGAAGTTCTAAGTTAGCTTGTGCTCTTTGTTTTTATAGAGTAACTTCTCTTTTCTTGTCAAAGTGCAGTGTTGTGTATTTCTCCAAATCTTCAGCTCCTTTTATAGAGTTTCATAAAAGAGGCGTTGGAGAGAACTTCAAGCACAAGACGGTATTTGAGAGAAATATCAACAGATCTGTTGCAAAGTTTCCTGATATGGTTAATGTCGTTGAAATCCCATTTGAAACTCCTTTGCTACAAAAGGAATTATCAGTTGTAATTCTTCAGGCTTCTGCAACTTTTTGCTAAGTTTTCACGTGACCATAACATGACAAATTGACCTCGGAGTCTGATAGCGACATGTCAAGAATTCCTCGATTATTGAGCTTTATGTGGGTTCTGATTCTGGTCGTTCAGAGTCTGAGTCTTAACTTTTGATCCTTCATACTCCGACTTTTTATAGGTTGGCTGGATCAGAGTCTAGAGCCTTCAGATTCTGATCATCAGAAGATGACTTGATTAGAGTTGATTCTTGAGAGTCTGATCTTCAAAATCTATCTATTAAGAGCTTCTCTTTGAATGTTCAGTGCAGTTTCAAAATTGATTTCCAATCAGTATATTAATCTTTGTATCTGCACACTCGAACACACATTAGTCTACTTAATTGTTTTTTAAATATTTTTTTATCATGAAAACCTAAGGGATATGGTATAAACCAATTTTGTTTAAAAAATCTCTCCATTTTTTATGATGACTAGGTATTTAAGAACGATGGTTGTTGATTCAATTAACATTCTGACATCAGGGTCTGAGGTTTGAAAGTCTCATCTAAATCTGATAGTCCTAGAGATAAGGTTTCTAAGCTCCCCTAAATCAGAAAGTCCTAAGAGTGAGATTTGTAAATTCCCCCTAAATCCTAACCAGATTAATTAAATATATATCACAATAAAAATTATGTAATTATAAAAAAAACAAATTCATGATTACTGTTTATTTTTACTACTAGAAATTTAATATAAATTAAATATTATATGGAAAAACATTATAAATAATAAGCATAAAATAATTTAATTGTAAATTAAAAAAAATAAAATAAAATTTGTTTTAAAATAAGAAGACTATTTTTTACTAAGATTTATGATATATTTTTTTACACAAATATTAGTTATCCATGTCATCCACCTTGAAACAATTAATAATGAGTATATGATCATTGGAACAAGTTGTGGATTGAAACTAATTCCCTTTTGGTTCATTGGGATTGAAACTAATTCCCTTTTGGTTCATTGGAGTTAAGAAATCCTTGTTTGGCTCTCCAAGTCCATGGACTTCTTCGTTTCACACATTTCTTGCGAGGGCAACCAATAATACACTGACAAGCTCGCATCAACTTTTGCTCATGAAAATTTATGAAAATTTTGAGTTTCTAAATATATTTTTACTTTTTAGGAAGGTTTTAGCTTGGTTCCCCTCTCATATTATCTCTCTTTTCTTTTTTAATTCCATTTTTGTTTTGCCAAAAAAATCATTAAGATGTCATAGTACTTAGGAATCTTTCTAAAATGTCTTGAAACAAAAAAATAAAATAAATTGTATTTTTAATAGCCATTAAATTTTAAATAAATCAAAAGTTGTAAAAATAATATATTTAATTTAAAGAAAATTTAAAAAAATGAGAAATTTGTTTAAAAATTAAAAGATTATTTTTTCATATAACATCAACTTTATATTAGATTTCTATTAGTAAAAATAAATAATACTGATCAAAGTTTTAGTAGTGTTTCTTAAACTAATTTAAAAAATAATGAAATTCATTTTCTTAAGTATGTGTTATATTTTTTATTTATTTGGCAATACATGTAAATATATATGGAATTAATTAATTATGTGAGAGAAAAATAATATTTTATCTATATATACCAAATTGAGTAGGTAAATATATAGAACATTAGTCATATAAGAAAAGGAAATATTTTATTAAACTGCGTTTTTAATAGTCATTAAATTTTAAATAATTAAATATTGTAAATAAGTGTAATAATTAATGTAATTTAGCCTCTCTTTTCTTTGTATAAATAAAAAATATATAATTATAAAAAAATTTAGAAGTAAAGTTCGCGCAAATAAATATACAAATTTGATGCAAATATGCTAATTATTCAATTCAACTTAAATCTCAAATAAAATCGTTAACACCAAATAATATAATAGAAGCTTGTAGAATTCTAGGGTCTTGACAAAGAATATCCCAAAAATTGCAACAGCAGAAGAACAAAACCACACCTAAGAGACAAAACAGAAAAGCACAAAAAGAATCGAATGTTGGAAAAAAACAAATGACAAGAGTAGAAAGAGATAGGATAAGGTTTACAAAACGCACTTTCGCATAAATCGTTCTTCCTGGTTGAGTGGGTGATTATGAAACTTTGTGGGTCTAACTATGTTTATATTTATTATAGTGTAAGTGAGTGGGTTTGGATTGGGTTTGACTAAATTCAATATCTAATTTATATAACACATTTCGATTTGAAAATTTAATATGATATTCTTATATTATATATGACACTCGTCAATTTTAATTATTCTAGAATTATCTTTGTTGAGATATAAATAATTTTTGGACGAAATTTCTCGTAGAGATTTTAAAATTTCCGGTACATGTAAAATTTCTGGTACACTCCTGTAAATTTTCTGGATTATGTAAATTTTCGGTAGTGTATTTGAAATTTCTGGTATTTTAGAAATTTCAAATTTACTATGCAGTACCGGAAATTTGAGTTATACTAAAATTTTCAGAAGTTCATTTATTCAAGTTTTTAACGGTCGAAATTTTGTCGATATTTTTGGAGGATTCTGATTGCACTAACATCTTTGTGTGGTCTATAATGCACCACTATTTGTATAAATAGGAGCATGTGTTATAGAGAAAGACATCGTAAAAAAGGCATCTTTCTCAATTTTTGATTAAGATAAAAGTGTATTACAACGAATGCAACCCTGCTGTTGAATTCAAGCTTCCAAATGGCAGGATATTCCTTGTCACCTTGAAAAAAACGTTGAATGCATTGCATGAGGGTGACAAGGATCGAGTTTCGGGAAGATTGGATTGATATAAATGGAAGGGTGAAATACAATTTGATTGAGTTGAAGACCGACGAAGATGTGAAGGCCATGTGGAAATCATTTCGTCGTAGGATAACTAAAGGTCCGGTCGAGTTGGATGCAAAGATTCGAAGATCAGTCGACGATATAATCAAGTTGCTAAAACTATAACACTCAATAATTTAATTAATTATTTAATTAAATTATTTTCGAATTATTTGTTGAAATGTGTGAAACGTTGTTATATGTTGCTAAGTTGTTATTTGGTTGATTATTTTAGTTGATTAATATTAGCAATAATATTAGAAAGTAGAGAATATTAGTTGGACCTATTTTGATGGTTAGAAGTAGTAATAGGTGGGGTGTGTAAGTTGAGCCCATTAAGAATAATAAAATTATTATTAGCATTAGTTACAATAATAAGAAATTAGGTTAATTCGAAAGATTAAGAAAGTCTTTGAGCAGTAACGTAGGAAGTGACAGAGAAGAGGAACAAGGAAAAGAGGCAAAACTAGGTTCAATTGAAAACTTGTAGAGCGACCTTCAATCCGAGGTAAGGGTGGGGTTCTGACTCTATAATGGGAATTATGGTGAATAGTATGTATGAATTGGGTTGGTATAATTGTTGTACGTGTAATTGTGCTTCTGTGTTCCTTAATGATGTTGAATTCGTCGGCAAAATTGTTGATATTAATTGTCTGTGTTGTAATTTATCTATTGATGAAATTGTTGTTAAGTGTTATGTTGCTGCGATTGGATAGAGGAAAATTACAAAACAATGTCTGGAATTTGGACGTGTACTGAGGGGCACAGGAAGTATGTCGAGCGGCACAACTCCATGGTGATCGGTAGGTAGTGTGCCGAGGGACACAAGTTGTATGATATGTCGAGCAACACAGTCCCTTGTGCCGAGGGGCACGATACTTCGATGCCATCCGTAACCCTGATCTATTTAATTCCTAGCATATTTCAATCTCTAATTCAATTAATCATGGCCAGATGTAATCAGAGGAATTTTATAGTGAGTATA